GGTGCTGCAGCGCGCGGGGGCCCCCGCGGAAGGCCGGCAGCACCACCCGGACCAGCACAGCACGCACCGCATGAAGACTGAGACCAAAGCTGCCAAGACCCTGTGCATCATCATGGGCTGCTTCTGCCTGTGCTGGGCCCCCTTCTTTATCACAAACATAATAGACCCTTTCATAAACTACACTGTGCCAGGGAAGCTGTGGACAGCGTTCCTGTGGCTGGGCTACATCAATTCAGGGTTGAACCCCTTCCTGTACGCCTTCCTGAACAAGTCCTTCAGACGTGCCTTCCTCATCATCCTGTGCTGCGGTGATGAGCGATACCGAAGGCCTTCCATCCTGGGGCAGACCGTCCCCTGTTCCACCACCACAATAAATGGATCGACTCACGTGCTAAGGTGAGTGTTTCTCAGACGCTGCACAATACCTTCAGTCACTAGAAAGAGTACTTCCCATGAATTTTCTTGAAGGACTGGTCTCTTTTTTGCATTTGAACTATTTGAAGGATTAACTGTTCAAAAATGGGGTCAAGAGAAGCACCTGAAATCCTCTGGCTGCTCAGAAAACATGGGTCTGTAGATATCAAACACGTGTTGGTGTGCACAGCTCCTCCAGACCATGGTCAGGAAACAGTTCAGAGAATACAGAAAATTGCATGAGCATTTCAGCAAGTGCTGCTATTTTGTCTGGGCTGAAAAGCTTCTGCCCACAGGGAGCTGCCCGCTCTGTTTCATCTGGTAAAGGGATCATTACAGCCCCATGCCACTTCTCTGGTGCTGCCTCTGTAACCCTCCAGGCATTGCTACAGCTTCTGAACTAATGAAAGGAGAACTAAATTCTCCAAATGCCCTAATCCTTGCTGTGGCACTTTGTTGTGCGTCTAAGGGGAAGGGTAGTTGCTATTTTGCTTTATTTTCTAAGCTAAATACCTTTAGCTTAGAAGATGCCTTTGCCTGCCCTTTACTGTAATTGAGTCAAAGCCTCTGGATTCCCTGAATATTACTCTGAACTTTCACCCCAGGGCAGATGGGTGGTCACAGTCCTGCTGGGACTTGGCCTGGTCAAAGCAGCCTGTGACAGCTCTTGGCAGGAATGGCAGACGGTGACAGGCAGGTGTCTGCTCCTTAGGCTCCCAGCTGGGAACTGAGGTCCCAGAGAGGGGGGACTCATAGGGACAGGGCAAAGCTCGACTGAGGCTTGTGCCTACTCCAGGCTCCTGCTGGGTTTCAGTTTGGACCGGTCTGCAGTAAAGCATGAGCGCTGCCTTCTCCTGGTCCAGCCTGCAGGAGACGGATGGGCACTAAGGGATGCCAGTCCATGGTTTGGAAGTTTGGAGTCCAGGGAGTCAGAACATGTTTGCCGATCACTGCCCTTCATTTGGCAGGAGATGGGTTATTGCAAGGGCAGTGCTGGCAGAGAGCTGGACTGTGCAGAGGGGGCCCCTCTCCTGTCCATCTCCCCAGAGCAGAGGTGGTGGCACAGCATCTGGGAAGGGAGGGAGGAGCAGTTATCCCCTGCATTAGCAGAACAAGTTGCCTTCTCTGAAAAACACACAGGTGTTTTTCAGACGTAGCTGCCTGGAAGAGATTTGGTTCCTTTTGTAATCAGATTTGTGGCTCTGCACATATAAACAGGCAGTTGGTAACCAGATTTGTGCTCAGAGCTGATCCTGGCTCTGAAGGCTGCATCCAGTGCTGTGCACCCACTAGCTGTTCTGGCTTTGCAATAGTCCCGGGCTGTGTAAGAGATTGAACAGCAGGCAGGGTCTCTCACAGCACCAACATAGACCTCTCAAGCTTCTCAAGCCATGGAGAACATTACAGCACATACATCTTCCTCTGATCAGAGGCTGCATTTGGGGCTATAGTCCCAGTGCCCTTGGTCTCTGGCTGGTGGTCTCCTTGATTCTTGGCCACTGATAAACCCTTATTTTGGAGCTCTTTTTAGACATAATGCTGTCCCAACAGCCAAAGCAAAGGCAAAGAGCTGTCTTGCCCCCAGAGCTAGGAGTTGGCCATGGTCTCAGCTCCCCTGGGCAGCTGGGTAAGTCGTGGTGTGCTACAGTAAAACCTGGATCCCATCATGTAGCTGAGATCAGGCTTTTCTCATTTCTAAGTCTTCTCTTCCACTTGTTCCTCTGCTCTCACCTGTGAGTCCTCCACAGAAATAAGCAGCAAGCCCCAGGACTGTCTGTCCAGTTCTCTTGTGTCCTTATAGCCTTGTCAGCTGAGATGTGACAAACATTACGAGATGCCCCATAAGAATTAAAACTGTGTAGGACCTCTTGTCTGCTTCTAGGTTTTGTGAGTTCTTCATGCATAGGAATGAATTGTCTCTCTTCGACATTTTACAAAGTCAAATCAAATCTCCTGCCCTTCCTTACCAGTCGAATTCTGTACAACAAAATTAGGTACTTGTTTCCTGTTGCAGGCCTCCGCTCCTCTCTGAACTCCAAAGAGGAGCTGCTAAGGAATTCAGCTCTATGCATCATTTTCGTCAATTGCAATTATACTCTTTCTTTTTTTTTTTTTCATTCAGCTTTGTAGTTGATGAGGGAATGATATATTTCCCTGGTGCAGATTATGTAATAATGATGATAAAGGTTTGGGTATTAAAGGAAAACTAATTGTAATATTTGGACAGTTAATGCCATTTGAAGAATTTTTAATTTTCTGTGCTTCTCTCTTAAGCACAAAGCAGGTTGAACTCAACAAGTATGGATGAGAAATTCAGTGAAGCAGGTTCTCTCAACTTACAGTGTGTATTTTCTTCAGTAACTTGGAAATACAAGGGTTTGGTGCTCAGTAGTTGAAACTCCGAAATCTTCCTGTATGGGTTGGTTTCCCAGTAACATAACCAAGAAGCTGCTCAGGGACTGAGCACTTCCTTTCCAGCTGGAGCATTGCTCCTTCCTGGCCAAGAACTTTGGCAAATGGGGATGTTGTGCAAGAGGGGCCATCATGGCTGTTCTTTATATTTGGCAGGGTGAACAGTAGAGAGAACCAGAAAACAGAGAAGAAAGTTATTCAAGCACCTTGTGCTGAATCTAGGGCAGAGTTCCTCCTTCAAAACCTGCAGAGAACTGCAAGTTTGTATTAAACTGATACGTCCTATTTAGACTCAAAGGGATAGGAGTGATTCAGGCAGTAGGACTGGGATTTCTAGTTCTTGCCTGTTTCCAGTCATCAGAAGATCTGAACTTTCCCTCAGCTCTAACCATCTGAACTGCTCTATTTTTTATTACAATCAAGTCACTGGTGCAATTAGGGTTGAGGATTTCCTCATGTTCATTTTGCTCTTGGATTCTCCATCAGCTAGTGTGAGAGACCTCCACTCCCTGGGCTAGATAAGGTAAGGTGCAAAGGATGTTTCGAAGATGTCATGAACAGTTTTAGTTAGAACGGGATCTGTGTGTAGCATGGGGAAGAATATTAGAATTAAATATTAATTCAGAATTGCAAAAGATTTTTGATTTTGCTGTTTCTGGAGTTTGCATTCTACAGGTGTAGAAACTGCCACATTTATTTTTCCTCAAGATGTTAACCTATTTCAATTCTGAAGTCCATCATCAATTGCAAAAATCAGGCAGGACATATGCAGATAGTCAACAGAAGTCTGCAGGTGTGGCTGCAACCAGAAATTCATGCCCTTTTCATTTTTCAGTGGCAACCCACGTGTCGTATAAAAAGGTGTGTTTCTCTGGTTGCAGCACAAATTGTGTAGTTCGTTATAAATATTTGCAATTCATAGTTCTAATAACCTATAGTTTGAAACATCATTCATTGAAAGGGTTTGGGAATCATTTTGAATAATGAGCAGATAGGAGAATTTACAATGAGCACTCAGCTAATATATGGGAAAATTTGGTACAGTAACAGCAATAGATATGCGTTTCTGGATGTCTGTAGCATGTTCCAGGAGCCTGAGCCTGAAAACAAAAAGGCATGATCATCTGAAAAATTCTGTCTTCGACTTTGAACTTATTGCTTGCATATCTTTTGTCTCGCACAACACAATAAATTCATGGCTTTTGTAAGTCATTAAACCCAGTTATATCACAAGTGGATTGCAACCTAGATCAGCATTGCTTGAATTCTTGGACAAAACAAGCTCTAAAATTTTGCCACAGTGAATATGACTTTGAGTAAAACATAATTGAGCAATAATGAGAGTAGACAAACTCTGGAACATGCGGGTCAAGGAGGTCGTTTTGGTACTTTCACTGTTTCCTCTCAGAGTGCACTACTCAGTACAGCACAGTCTATCAGTCCTGTCTGGGAAAGCTGTAGTGAGTGGTTTATTTACTCATTTTTTCATCACAGAGAGGCCTTCTTAGGCAGGGTTCATGCCAATTTTATTTCTCCAAAGTAAAACACATCCCAATTTTGCTTTTATGAGAGCCAAGAGAAACAAAGAACAAAAAAGCATGCAGCTTGAGGGGCTGGAAGTTCATTATCTTCATAAATATGAAAATAAACCACTCAATCAAGCACATTCCTCTCAGCACACTGAAGGTGCACAAAATGTGGGGAGAATTGTGCATAGCCAATACCCAACACCACCACACTGCTGAGTCTCCTATAGATCCCTATAGGGAATATAAGTAATTGTGGCAAGTAAAACTCCAGCACCTGAGCTGGTGCTTCCTGACCGCTAGTTGAGTAGACAACATAGCCTCTCAGAGCTTTACATTTTGGAAGTGTAGCAGCTTCATGGCTTACAGCTTGTTGGAATAAAAATAAATCCGTCTGGTGGTCGGGGAGAGATAGTCACAGCTGCTGAGCAAAGAGGCTCTGTGCTGCTGTGCATTATCAGAGCTCCTTCCCCACGACCCGCCCCAGATAGTGTTCATGAGAGGATGCTCCTGCCCCACGACACAGACCTTGACAGGATGCATTACAGCTGGTTGGGTCCTTGGTTACCTCCTTGCAGCTTCACATGCCAGAGCCATCCCTTGCTGCCTCCCAAGCTGAAAGCATTCTAGCATGGGCTGGTCATCACCAAGGGCATGTTCAGCCTTGGACTGGGGGCTCCTGCCTGGAGTCTTTTCTTCGTTGTCACATTTGTGCCATCTATAAATACATCAACAAGATAAAGACTGGGAAGGGAGAGGGGTGATTTGAATCAAGTTCAGACTGTTCAATAAAGGAGCTGATATTAAAAAAAAATCTGAAAAGATTGTGGTAATGTACCCTGAGTAACCACGAGATTATGAAAAATAGATCTCAGTTCTGCAAACTGATTTGATTTATTTTATGAGATTGCAATTTACCAGAAATGTAACACATTTGACTTGGTAGCTACATCAGCATGGTATATATTAAATAGATCATCTCCATAGTTTCTAAGTCCTAATGAAATTACCTTCTGCTGGAGGCTGTATTCCTAGTGAAGATTC